GCCTAATTCCAAGTTCTTCCATTTAGTTTACAGTTTACTTCTTAGTATCTAGTTATTGCTCAAAGCAGGAGTCAACAAACTATAACCTGGGAGCCAAATCAGGCCAGACACCTATTTTTTTATTTTTTTGCAGCCCTTATGATAACAATTGTTTATACATTTTTAAATCATTCCCTATTAAATGGTTATAAAAGTACCTACATAACAGCCTACATTCTGCCACTTGGCCCACAAAGTATAAAATATATACTGTCTGGGTCTTTCAGAAAAAACTTGCTGACCCCTGACTAAAAAATCCTTAGTCATAATAATTGGAAGAACTGTCTGAATTGTAGCAAAATCTGAATTTAAGAATAATTTTAAATAAATATATATATTTTTTATTTTTGATGTATACTTGGTCAAGCAGATGTTGCTAGTGTGACCAATTCATGGATGGGCATTAGTAACTCAGTCTGCGTATGGCATTGCTTTGGCTACAAAATTCGATTCTGATTTTTCAGCGTGAAACATAGAACCCTTGTCAATAACTGGGCTATGAAGGCCTTGCTTTTGCATGACACAGGTGGGCTGCTTTCCTCACGACTCCAACCTGACTACAGATGGAACCACAGGAAGGGCAGACCTGAGAGAGTGCAGAGATGGAGCCAAAGCCCTGATCATACCATACCTGAAACCCACCCTACCGCCTGACTTTTGGGTTCGATGAGCCAGTCAATTTCACTTATAGTTTGTCAGCAAGAATTGGGTTTTTGTTATTTGTAGATGAAGCTATCTTCACTAATAAAATGGTGTTATTCTACCTCTAAGGAGAATTTCACAGAATACCTTTAAGGAATAATTTCTGGAATTATTTTATCCTTGGTACATCGCAATCATTGTAAAAAAAAAAAAAAAAAATGGTCTTTAACAACACAGACCAGGAAGCTGGGAAGAGGAGCAATGATACTGGATGACTGCATCAAGATCTAAAAACATCTGATAGGCAGAAACGCTCTACCAAATACAATACTGCAATGCAATAAGAATAAGTTTAAGGATATCAATAGGAATGAGCTGCATGTGTAAGAAAAGACAAGGACTGGCCAACACTGTGATGTGACCACCCAAACCACTAATATAGTTTTAGGCTGCATTGCTTAGAACATCTCCTCTTTGCTCCTCAGGCCATACCATTAGCTCAATGCTGAGTTCCAGACTTTAAAAGGGATCTGGACAAACTGACACTCAGAGTCACTAAACAGGCTGACAAGAACAGTTAAAACCGTATCAGATGTGGAAGAGTTGAAGGGACTGGAGAAGTTTGTCAATGATTGCAGCTGTGATAATAGTGTACATTTAAATACTTAACTGTTATGTGCCTGGAATTATACTAAGCAATTCCACATTATATCATTTAATCCTCACAACCACCTTACATTGAGGCATGCCATTATTTCCCACCCCCTCAAACACAGATGAAGAAACCAAAGCTTAGGTACAAAAAACTTACCCGAGGTCACACAGCTAATAAGCAAGTGGTAGAACCATGGGATTTATTAAGTTATAGGAGATGGCTTTAAGTGGTGAATGCAACACCTTTAGGTATTTGAATTGTCAAGAAGAAGGATATAGAGTTGTTTCATGTGGCTCTGATGAGAAGAACCAAGACCAATGGGTAGAAGTTTTAGGAAGACAGATTTCCATTGAGTATGAGATCATCTCTTTTTCAGCAAAGAGGGGATTTTCTTTTTTAAGACCATTGACTCAACCCAAAATTCTGGTTTACCCTGGCCAGACAGGACCTTCCTGAGTCGTCATCTTCTTGAACCTGTTAATCATGCTCATTTCCACACCATGTTGCTCGGACTACATGACAGCACATTTAATTTCTGTTCTTCCTTTGGACTCCCTTTCCCCTTTTTGTCCTTTTCCCATGACAGTCTTGTCCTCTGAATCCAGTCTTTGGGCCAGTCCTCTGATGACCCTGGTCTGTGTATACTGCTTTGATTTTTAACAGAGCTCTTTTCCTGATTTCCACATCTCCTTTGTAGATGCTCCATTTTTCATCAGAAACTCAATATGACAAAACTCACATTTACATTACACATCTAACTGTTCTACTCCCAAACCTCTCCATTTTTTCAAAGATATTATTTATTTATTTTTAGAGAGAGGGGAAGGGGAAGGAGGGAGAAAGAGAAGGAGAGAAACATCAATGTGTGGTTGCCTCTCGCGTGCCCCCTACTGGGGACCTGGCCCGCAACCCAGGCATGTGCCCTGACTGGGAACTGAACTGGTGACTCTTTGGTTAGCGGGCCAGCACTCAGTCTGCTCAGCCACACCAGCCAGGGCTAATCTCCCCATTTTTGTTGATAGTAATCCTACTAACTATCCTGTTCCTCCTAGGCCACCTTCTGTTTGTCCTTCTGCCTGAAATCAACCACTAAATCCTATCAACTTTTCCTTTATAGGATCTCTTGAGTGTGTTCTTTCTTCTTGAGTCCTCCTCTCACCCTCAAAGGATTAGTCCTCGTTAACTTCTCTCCTGACTCTCCTAAATAATTGTCACTGCATAATTCTAAATCCCATCTTTACTCACTTGTCTGGGAACCAAGGACTGCCTCTGGTTGCCCATTAATGTAGGTCCATTGACTCCACCCCCCAGTTCAGGCGGCTGCTTCCAACCGCCCCCGGCAGAAACCCTCCATTCCTGTCTCGCTGGCCCAGTGCAGTTACCCCTGCCCTGAGCACCGTCATGCCCCTCTTCACCTTCACTCCTGCGCCTCTCCTGAGAGTAGGCCTGTCCTTTGCTGATTCAACGTTTATTCTTTTAAGGCCCACTTTGAGGTTCACTTCTTCCTCTCAGTATTCACCTCCTTCCCAGTATCCCTCTAGTTCTTGTAACCTGCTGAATCTCACATTCTAGTACTTGTGTCGTGACTCTATTGGAATTTTCCATTAAAAAAGTCCCTCAGTTCCTCATAGTAGATTTAAGCTTTTTTAGGGCATCTCCTTATATATTCTTTATCACAATAACATCTAGCACTGGGCTGCTCAGACAGGTGTTTGTTGACTTAGACCTAAAGAAAAAAATAATATTGACAATTTATTAAGTTCTTCAAATGTACCAATCACTATACTAAATAGAGGCATTGCCCTCATTTTAAGATGAGGAAACCAAGGCCAGGAAGTTAAACAAATTGCCCAAGTCCACCTAGCTGGTAAGTGCTGGACCCAGAATTTGGACCTAGGTAGTTGGGTCCAGAGCCTGCACGTTCAATCACGGCACTAAGATGGTCATACACAGTACTGGTCAATTCCAATCCTACGCTGTTCTTGAGAACCAGGGTAACCCAGCAGTGTTGAGCTTTTGTATATAATGAGAAGGATCCTTCTTCTGTTCCCCTAAGAAATGAGTACACAATAGTGGTATTTAGTAAGGCAACCTCTTTACTGGCCATGTCCTCAGGGAGGGTAGGCTGGTGACTTTCAAAGGCCATTAGCTGACAACTGTCTTGCTTGATTTCCACAACTGTTTAGGACAATGGTGAAAAGAAGGACTTGCTTCTCTTGTCCTCACACTTTCTTGTGTTTTCCAGGGGTGGTAAATATGGAAACTTCCAGCCTCACACCCTGCCAAACTTTTGGTATTTTATCGTTTTATAGGATTGATTTCCTTTATTTCTATCTTCTTTAAGATCTTCTTCATTTACATCTCAACTCTGAGAGTGTTGACAGAAAAGATCTCATCCCCATTTCTTTGTTTGATTGGCTTAGGGACATTTGCTCTTGGAGCTGTTTTTACGTGTATAAAAATGAAGTAATTGTTTCAAAGTATTAGCTAATTTGACATCTTTTAGAAGGTTAGCTTGATCTTTTTTCTTGTATGATAAAAAGAAGTGTTAAATCAAGTGTTAAAGAAAAAGGACTTATTTATGGAAAATGATATTCAGAGAAGCTAAACCTTGGGGCAGTAGTAAAGGTCCAGCAAGATCAGCACTGAACATCCACTGGGCAGCCCGTGCCACAGCCGGCAGGAGCGAGGGGCATACGTGTGGGTGTTCGTGCGTAACCCTGGCCACATGTATATACATCCTTTATGATTTTCATAGCAAATATTGTATTTGACAAATAAAATTTTGCTGTAAAACTTTCACTAGTCTCTTAGTGCTTTTTTTTTAAATTTTGTACAGATATTTCAAAGCAAGTACTTGTAAGTATCAGCTCTAGCTAAAGAGAAATTATGTCCTTTATAGACCATTTCTATATTTAATGTAAACTTAAAAGAAAGCAGGTATATCATCCTGCTATGGGCTAGCCATTACACTTTTATTTGGAGCACAAAATGTTTGTCATCTAGGACTGCCTGAGTGTATCTTCAATTTTTTTAACATTTAAATTATGCCTAAAAGTTAAATATTTTCAGAGAATATAAATTTAATTTAAAAATGGAAATGGAACGCTCTGTGGTATAGTAGAAAGAGCAGTGAATTGAAAATTATGAAACCTGGGTTCCAGATCTGACCTTGCTCTGTGACCTTGGGCACATCTGACAAATTTGGGAACTTTTTTTTTTGGCGGGGTGGGGGGATGGGGGGAGGTCTGGAGAAAGAGAGAAGAGAAGGAGGGGGAAGAGAGGAGAGGGGAGGGAGAGGTTGCTCTCAGCTCACAAATGCGAGGCTTTTGTGATTCAAGCATACCAGTTCTTTCTTTTTCTCACAGTGACCTCTTGTGGCATATATCCTTAATCAATTTTTTGATTTGCAAAGTAAACTTTGGATATATTTTTGTTGTTGTTTCTAGTACCTATATTTCATATTATTAAACAAATATGACTTGTTTTCAAAAGACAAATATTTGTTGAAAATTAGAGGTTGATATAGTTTACCAAACCCCACTTTATAAACAGCGCTCTGTGGTTTCTTCAAAAACGGTACATGGTCAACCCTTGACACTTACAGAAGGAGAAATGCTTTGGTTTTTGCGCTGAGTGTTGTATGTATTCCTCTTCCTCCTAGGGACCAGGTGAAGGGGCGTTCGAGGGCCTACTCATGCCTCAACAGCTCGGACCCGAGCAGGCCGCAAACCAAAGCAGGTGAGGTGCTTGTGTTCTGAGAAGTCCCACCATTCCTTCATCTTCAGCATCTCTGTTCACGGAAAAAAAATTTGCACCAAAAATGTCTGATGTTGGCTCAATGTTTGAAAACTTCAGGCAATTTGTCCAACTTGGTCACCAATCAACATTTATTTTTATAACTTTTTATTATTTTCACAATAGTCTTACCATTCTTACCATTATCCCAGCTCACGTATCTATAGATTACACCTGTAATGAAATTATTTTGTGATAGTGTTTGGAAAGTTTCAAAACCTGACTCCAACATGGAGCCCTCTGGGTGTTTAAATTGTCTAATTGAAAAAAATATGTAACAATATAAATCACAGACTAGAAATGATACAAAATATATCATGCAATGGAATGTAGCAATCAGAAGACTGAACTAAACTACATTTATAATACTGAATGAAATGAGTATAAATATAACATTACATGAAAAATTAAGTAAAAAAAATGATATATGTTGTTTATGGATATGGATCTAAGTAGTAAACATGTAAAGCCAAGCATGATAAAAATAAAAATAAGGACCTGATTTAGAATGGTAGTAACCCGTGGAGGGAGAGAGAGGAGGGGACTAGGTAGGGGGAGTTGCCCAGAAAGCATCAGCTATATCTGTAACATTTTGGTTCTTTAAAATAAGGTGGAGGATGAGAATATAGTTAATATTTGACCAAAGTAGTTTTGGATATACAGGTGTTTGTTATGTTCTTTGTACTTTTATTGTACACATGAAATTTTATGAAGCCCAACTAACATTAGATTCACAGAATGTTTTATAATCTTCAGAACTAATTTTTTAAACAAAATGACTTCTGTGGCCAATGAGAAATCTTAGATAGACTGATTTCCGTGTCAGCATTGTTGCTGAGGATTTTACATTTACATGCTAAAAACATCAGCCAATAAACATTGTGTCAAGTTTTTGTGTCCAGGATTCAAAGCTGTGGTTAAGAACTATAACCACTGAGACAGCAAAATCTTAAAAAACATGCTGAAATTTCTGCTTGACTTACCCAATTTCCTGTTGAATCATAATTTTTTATATTTAGCAAACCTAGATAAAAGTGCTTTCTATAATATTAGGTGGTTGCCTAAAACTGAGACAAACTTTATGTTTTTGTAGCTCTTGAAAAGTAATAATAGGATTCCATGCTTCAGTTTCTAGACTAGATACTGAGTTCGTATAGTATGTAAAGTGGGACTTTTGTGGAGAGCAGAGTTGGAGGGGGTGTGTGAGAGTGAAGATGTGGAGAGGCTGTAGCCGGAGACCCCTGCTGTCGCAGCGGTGCCGAGGAGAGAGGCGAAGGCAAACCCTCACACCACAGTGTCCGGCTAACTCCTGTTCTCAGGAGGAACAGATCTTAGAAACATTCAGAAGGGCCTGTGAGGGCCTTTCCTTTCTGAAGGTTAAATAAACTGTTCTGTGATTTCTGGCTCAGCCCTGTAAATTAACTCTTCTTGGGATGAACCTGTTACTAATTTTGTTTGTCCTGAGACAAGGGTTGATAACCCTGGTTTCTCTTAGAGCTATCCTGTTAAGGAGTATATTGCATAGAAGGTAACAATGCTGATTTGAATTTAACTGGACTTGAAATGTGTATTTCTAGTAAATCTAAGTGCCTCATAAATATTTGTTGATTAAATTATTTTCCTGGCACTATCTTTGGCTTTTCACTCAATATATGTTGATTTTATTCATATATATTGGACTTTGAAGATGTAACATACCTGGGAATATGAACAAATGTGTTTTTTATACTGCTTGAATATTCATGTTTACTTTTAGAGTCCATATTCGTAATTTATCAAAGTTAATGCAGACTCCTAAAAGTAATGATCCAAAAGATTGAGATGGTGGTCTGCAATTCTTTCTCTTCCATTCCAAAATACCAAAAGCTCTGAAAGCTGAAATATTTTTCAAACTCCTTCAGTGACAATGCCTGACCTGTACTGATGCAAAGCCAATGCAGCCTTCATTTCATTTGAGTGAATATTCACACGTTTTGCTGGAGGGGCGGGGGCTGCCCCAGAAGACCCTACTTGGTTGGGGTGGTATGTAACATGCAGTGTATGCACCATATTGCCTTACGAACATTCAAAATTTTCTGAATTCCAAACCACATCTGGGCCCAAAAGCTTTGGATAAGGCATTGTGAACCTGGAAGAGATGGACTGATTTTATCCAACTGTATGTTCAACTGTATGTTTTATGGTGACTTTTTGCTTATGGATTAGACAGGTTATGGGAAACCTTGAGTTAAAACTGCTGGCAGCACCTACAGTGTTTAGTTACAGTTTTTTGACACCCCCTTTTGTCTACTTTTGCTTCTCAAGTGCTCCTCCTGCCTGGCGTGCATCAGCCCCTCCTGGTATTAGGAAGTTTGCTAAAAGGCAAGCCCAGACTCCTGCAACTGGGAGTGGCCATTTGCAGCGGGGAGTGTAGGGGGACGGGGTGGGGGGCAGGGGGGTGCGGGCACTGGGTGGATAGTAACTTGTATAGCTCTCCTGCCTCTCTGCACCCTTACAGCATCCTTGGAAAACTTAATATGCATTGTCTATTTTCTATTCAACAGAAATACAGGTACATTAGAGGTTTTGGAAAATACAAAAGAGCACATAAAAGAAGTTAATAACCCATCATCTCAAGACTTGAGATGACCATTGTCATCTCATTTTACAGAGGAAAAGCGAAGCAACTTGCCCAAAGTCTACCACCTACTAGGTGGCAGAACTGGGACGCTAAGCCAGATAGTGACTGTTGAATCCATGCTCATCACAGGCCTCCCTGCTCAGCTTGTCTTTATTTTAGTTAAAACAACCTGAATGTATACAGGCCACACACCCTTTCAATGCTCTTTCTCTCTCTCTGGGGAACCCTCTGATCATCCCTATGATTTCTAACTCATGCCATGTCATTTTTAGGGTCCAGGCACCCACCGTGTAGCCAGTTAATTGGTGTGGGGTCTTCCCTGGGAGGGTACGGTTTTCCCAACCCAGTATAGACTGGGTGCCACTTCCCAGAAAGGAGCCGAGAATGTGCCTGCAGCGCTGCGCCTGAGTGCCGCACACAGCGGGCCGCCTCCGGCTAGACGGCCAGTTTGTCGGATCTGGAGATATTTCCTGTATGAGATGTAATCTTGATTTATAGTTTCTAATATGATTTACATTTCTCCTCAAAGTTACCTTTTAGTTTGCTGATTTACTGCAGGGCAGAACAGCAGAGAGGTCAAGTGCAAAGACTATGGAGCTACTTGACGTTGGGCAGGTAGCTTAATACTCTTGAGCCCCACTTCCATCCTTGGAAAATGGGGACAATTTGGGAACCTCCACATAGGGTTGTTAGGAAAATTAAAGACAGGCCTGCCGCATCGGAAGTGTTCAATGAGTGGCAGCTGTCGCTTCTCTAAGGCCCGCACCCCCAGCAGCGCGCACCCCTGCAGATCTGGCCTATCTTACAGCCTGATACTCTTCAGACAGTGGTGACCTGTTTGTTTTTTAATCAGGGAAAGAAATTTCTATTTACTGAGTGTTATCAGATGCTGGGCACCGGGGTCAGAGCTTATTCACATAACCCTGAAGGCAAATATTCTGATCTCTGTTTTGCTGATGAAGCTCAGAAGGAACGAGAAACCAGCCCCAGCTCACCTACTGCATCAATAATAAGTTAAAATTTGAGGTGAGATTTGTCAGCACCCAAAGCCCAGGCTTTCCCCTGCAAAAGCATGTGGCCCCCAGTGATGTGGACATTTCGTTTTATATAGGACAGAAAATCCCTGCAGGCCTCCTTTTGAGAAAACTTTTCATTCACCATTTTCAAGATCTCTATTCTTTACTTATCTATAGTTTTCTATCTATTCTACATTACAGAGGGGTAAGTTTAAGTAAAAACAACTCAAAACTGTTTGCCTTCCTGACAATAATTTCAACATTTGCAAAGCTTAAGATTTTATGAAGTATCCCAATCAGAGTTTTAAGTTCTGATATTTTTACATTATCTTATCAGAGTTTAATTTGGGGTGATTTGATTAGAAGACGTGTAGTTCTAATTAGTGTCAGTTGAGGTTGGGAGCAAAGTGTAATTTAATTCTAGAGTGTATTAACTTTAGTGATGCATAGCAAAGACTTTTGATGGTGCTCCAGCTGTAACTCTTTGTTCAATGCTCTTTCTCCTGCTCTGGGTTTCTTTCGCAGTCTCAAAAGCTGGCTTGCAAGTAAAGGATACAGAAATGGGAGCAGACGATGTCTTTTGGAATACAAGGATCATACCAATTTTGAACAAGTTAGAAAAAGGTAATAAAAAAGCAGTTTTTGTTTTAAATCAAAAATATCTGTGATTATTTACATGTCCCCATTGCCCTGATATTTTTAGCATACTTTGACTATCACTTCTGTGAACATGTTCAAAAACAAATAAAGTCATCTACTTATTTACCCAGGATTGTTATGTATTAAATATTACATGTAAACCTAATTTTTAGTGGGTTAAATTATATTTTAAATGTAGCAAGAAAGCCCACTTCTAAAATTCCCCTTGCGATGTAAATTGATTATCACCTACTCTGCCCAAGGAAATGCTGATTTAAACTCTTTAAGGTGGCAGTTAAGCAAGACAGCAAAAGATTACAAGAGATTCCAGGTCTCTGAAACTCTGACTAAGTCTCCTAGACTGGCATCCTTGGCAGGCATGCCCCTGGTTTTCTAGATCCAAATGTGCATGTCCTGCTCTCCTTAGGGCGAGCACACCTGTTAGGGATGCTGCTCAGAGCAGGAAGCGCCCTGGCACTCCGGAGTGCCCAGCAGAGAAAGCCCACCATCAACAGGTCTCTGCAAAAGTGACCCATGGGAATCTTGTCAGGGGAATGCCCCCCGCCCCGCCACCTTCTCTCTCTTTGCTGCTGCTGGGGAGTCCATTTCTGAAGTCGAAACAGGCTCAGGTAGAGCTGTGGTCCTGGCCCCGGGGCTGAGCTCAGCACCTCGCGCACAGCACGCAGCAGGCCTTCGCTAGGAATCGTGGCGTGCTCCTTGGATGAGCAAAGCAGCGTGGTAGCCACAGGAAGGGGCCCCAGGAGAAGCAGGGTAAATGAGTCCTCCCCGACAGCCACGCCAAACAGGAAAGTCAGCAGAAGACCTCCTTCCTAAAGGTTCCAATGACCTTGGCCCCTGTAGGCACTTAGCTGTGTTCATGGTTAATGGGGGAGCCGGAGACAGATGGCCAAATCACCTAATCTCTGCTCAGTAGGGCTCTCGCCTGCCAGGGGAGGGGTGAGTGAGACTAGATCATCACCACAGTCCACTGCAGCTCAACTCCTGAGGATGAGAATGTGGTGACTTTGCCCCTTCTGGAGGTACTCATTTTCACCCTCTTGTCAGCAGGCCAGGTCAGCTGCAGCCCTTGTTTTAGGAGATATGTACAAACACTAGTAAGGACAGCGTTAGTCTGGGTACGAGTTTGGAAAGAAACGTACCAGGAAGAACACAGCGGGGAGAAGGGCCGGCGACGCAGGGCCCATCGTGGAGCAAGTCTGCAGCCCGAAGGATTTCAAGAGGGTTCCGAGGGCTCTGGCACCGCGGACGCCAACAGGAGTCCACAGGAGCTCGGGATTGGAAATGTGGGAGAATCTCCCTTCTCAGAAGGACTAAACGCTGAAGGATAGCATGTCTTCCATGAGCAACTTTAAGAACGGCATAAAGGGACAGGGCTGGGTCACTTGACCCTTTGAGATTCTTTTTTAAAATTTTTTAACTTTTTATTTTGACATAATTTTAGGCTTCTAGAAAATTTGAAGAATAGTACAAAGAAGACTTGTATGCTCCTCCCCCAGGTTCCCCAGGTATTAATATTTTACCACATGTGCTTCATCGTTCCCTCCCTTCCTCCCCTTCTTGCACTTTTTTCTTACACCTCACTCTCAACACACACACACACACACACACACACACACACATTGGGGGTTTTTTACAGTTTTAAACCCTTTGAGAACAAGTTGTCAATGCGATGTCCCATAGCCCTAAGTACTCTGGTATGTATTTTTAGAAACAAGGGAATTTTGTTGCCTATCTGGAAATTACCATACAATACTATATGACCTGATTCAGATTTTTGCTCGTTATCCTAGTAATTTCTGTTATAGAAAAAAGAAAATCCTGGATCACAAGTTCCAATTATTTGCCATGTCTCTTTCATGATCTTGAGATATTTTGAGGAGGTTACAGACCACCTCACAAATTGGGTTTGTCTGGTGTTTTCTCACAGTTATTGACAGATCCAGGCCAGGCATCTGAGGCAGGTGTAAGGGATGGGTGGCCCCGTGCCCCGCCCCCGCGTATCCCCTCAGGACGCATGTGAAGCTGGCTCGGTCCATTCCTGATCGGGATGTGAACTTGGATCACTTGAGGAAGGTGGTATCTGCCAGGTTTTTCTACTGTAAAATCACTGTTCGCCCCCCCCCCCCCGCCCCCATAATTAATCAGTATCTTATGAGGGAAGTTCCTTTGGGACAATGTTGTTTTACACTATTTGTCAAACTTTCACTCACTAGCTTTAGTCCCTTGAGAATCTTGATAGTTCTTAGATTCAAGTTGTCTTTGAGGCTATATGGCATTCATAACAAACCAACTGGTGTAAAGTGTTGATTTGATCAATAGTTTAAAATTTGGCCCTTGAGCCTTCATTTTAAATTTCTTTTAAGCTAATACAGATACTCTTGAATAGAGCCCACCAGGTTGAAGATTTTGTGGAGGGAAGTATTAGGAAAATGCCTTGGAGTCTACACCCACTGCCAGATGGTGGCCTGTGGCTTGGGCTCAGGTTTGCGAAGAAACTGCCAGTCACAGAAGAATACAACAACAAAAGTGTTTTTTACAATAGAGCTTAGGTTTTTCCCTTTATTTAAAGTTAGTCCAAGTCATTTCCCATCAATTCATTTATTTAAGTGCATAACTGAAAGGCATTGAAGGTTACTTAGCCATTGAGGTTTAAAATTTTTTCTTAGATGTTATTGTTAAAAAGAGCTAAAAATGGCCTGAGTCATTTCCTTCTGCAGGCGCACACTTCCTCTATGTGGGCTTTTAAGAGCACATTATGGTATTTATTTAAGATTGGTTTCCTACTTTTAAATTTTGCAATGGAATCTATCAGAGATAATATTTTTCAACTGAATTCTTTTCTTGAATTCTTATTTTTCTCCTCCCATTTCATGTGTGCTGCTTTTCTTCCTCGTATATCTATTAGAATGGCTGCCACTTTAAAAAATTGCTTTCCTCAGAATTCTAACAAAAGCCTTCCTTTTATTCTCCTCTTTTCTAATAATCACCTCTCAATAATGGTGCATTTGGTGACTTTTTGAGATTTTGTTCCAGATGAGCCCTCTGTTCTCAGATGATGAGTATTATTCTCAGAAAAATATTGATTACTGATTTAATCAACAGATATATTAGAAAATAAATATGTATTAGACCACATTATAGGTTGTCAGCGCAGTATTCTCACTACAGCATGCACAGTGGATACAAACATACATAAGACAGGATTCCTACTCACTAAGCATGACATCTGTTTGAGGGCACTAGACGTATAGCACAGCATACATATATACTTGTGAGAAATAATAGTACAAGATAACATTTATTGTATATGGAATAGTATACCTTTTCTGGATGAGCCAGAACATCAACGGAGCCTTGAAGGACCCAAGTCAGTAGGAAGAAGGAAAAGAAGAGCATTCTAGATCAGAAGAACTGCGCCCCAAAGGGCTGAAGATGGAGGTGCAAGTGGTCTGCTTCCATGAGCCTGAACAGAGAGAGCCCTGGCTGAGGTGGCAGGCTTTTAGAATAAAGGAGACCAACCAAAATAGGTACAACTCCATTCATCAACATGCTCTTGGAAAGACAGTGTGTGCTCCATAAGCTGACTAATTAGTAAGTAAGTCAACTTGGTAGGAGATGGATTGACAAAATGAAAAAGAAATCAGGTTGATAGAAATGATAAGAGAAGGGGAGAAGCATAGTTCAGGAATTTGAAGATGTCTGGGGAAATAATTATAGTTTTTACTTATGCTGTCTGTGTTTGACACACTCGAAAACTCGACCTTAGTAAGTGCTGTGTTCCTCTCTTTGCCCTGACAGGAGGAGACATTGAAATGGTGTGTGCTGCTTGCACACAACTTCATCACACTTTAGAGGAAGGAAACATGCTTGGAAATAAACTTAAGAGAAGAAATATTCTCCTGAAGACGCTGTATAAACTAGTTGATGTTGGTTCAGACCCACTCAACCTTAAACTTGCAAAAATTATTCTAGCAGTAAGTTTTTCTTTTCTCTGGTCTATTAGATGGTAGCACATAAAAGTTTTGTTTAATGCTTTATTTGAAAATATTATAAAGATGATCAAAAATGCACTATATTCATTTAGAATCTTGAAAAAATTAAGGTATTAAACTTATGTCACAGAATTTGACTAGAATGTACTGTCTAAGGAACTAAGGCTGAGGGCACAGAAAGTGTTCAAAAGACTCCTACATATGGACTGTGGCTAGGTTTAAAAATGTGACTATAGGCAAATATGTTCAAAACGGTTGCTCAAATAACTTGACTGGAGAGCAGTATCGGCGAGTGCATGCTGTGGTTTCTGCTCTGTGGTTTCTGTTGGGTGCTTGATTTTGCCACGTGATTTAATAAATAACTTCAGATAACTTGAGCAATGGATGCAATGACCAGGTGCTGTATGAACCAGCATAAGGCAGAGAAACAGCTGCATGTGGTCGTGGGAAGGTGGTCATAGAAGGCTCTCGTGAGGTGTTAGAAGAAAAGGCCAGACACCAAATAAAAGCGTAGAAACTCTTGTCTCAAACAACATGATATCATTGTTTGAGGGGAACACTTTGTTGTCATAGCCATAAACAGTTGGAACCAAAAGATAAGACACAATTATTATAGAATGTTCTAAAAGAGCTGCTAAAACAAATGAAGCTTTGTTTACCCAGTTTCATAGAAGTAAAAGCTATTATGTTAATAACCCACAATTTATATAATTTAAAATCTTAAAGTACATAGTGAAAGTAAGCATTGGTATACTTACTAACAGTGTAGTGAGAGTGTCCACCATTTCTTATTCTGATATCTTTTATACAGCAGAATATTCTGGCTGCATATACCTATGCTGACTTTTGGAGCAGCTGCATTCTTATTTAGCTGTCATCCTAACCTATTCACCCTCCTTATAAAAATCATGATATGCTACATGACTCAAAGCAAGATTTCTTTAAAATAGTGTGTTCAGCAGTATTTAAATCCCCTTTCCTTGATGATAATTGATCGATCACTTTAGTGAAACAAAAGGAACATAAACCACAGCGGGGACTTCAAGTCAAAAGCTGAAGGCAGAGATAACAGGATAGCAGCATGCTTGCCCAGTTCCCTTTCTGGCCCTGGGTTTGGGCACCTTCTGGACCAGGAGAGCCCCAGAGTGAGGCTGGAGGGCTCTACCGGTGTAGCTGCCAGCTGCCCAGGGACTGCCTTTGGTTTTCCACCCAGATCCTGGACATTCTGTCCATACTGAGCCACAAAAATTAATACATCAAAGGGTTATAGAAAGAAGGAAAATGATATGAATTTGTTAATGCTTTGCAGAGAAAGTATTGTCTTGGTTATTAAAGGTGCCATTCAAATGAATTATATACATGGCACAACTTAACTGTTTTAGGACAAGAGGCTGGATGATTTGCCAGGCAGTGAACATGTTCTGAATGAAATGTATGTTTAGAGGAAGCCCTGTCCGTGACATTGACTGCTTTGCTGAGTCAGGGCCGAGACTCGCTAGGCTATACTGCAGAGTGGAGAGATGGGTCGGCTGTTCCTTCTGATTAGATATAAACCCATGAGGTCAGGCTATCAGTTCCAACTTCCCATCTGCCTTCGGAATCACCTGTAATGTTCCAGGCAAGACATTGTTTCACTGAGGTCTTGATGATGGGGTTCTAGATAAATTTTTAAAAGACCACATAAAATGCTGTTGAAAAAATATCAGCAAAAACTAAAGGTATATAGGACTAAGAAGTTTTTAATAACTTCTTTCTGCCAGTATTTAGTTTCTCTATAAATTTAATATAATAATTCAGACATTTTAAATTATGTATAGTTAAAAAGTTCAGTGAGGATAATGTTAGTTCTGTTTTCCTGCATATTTTGGTTAAGCAGAGGTTTGTCAGGCCACTTTAATTTTAATCTTTGTATTGAAAAATCTTACAAAAATATATCAGCCTATATTACAGTTTTTATTTTTTATTTTTTATTTTTTTTAGAGAACAAGCATATATATACTGTGAATGTAACTATAGTCAGGAGGGGAAAACAGTTAGCACCCTATACAGGGGTAAAAAAACAAAAAAGAAATACCAGTGTGTCAACTATGATTATATATAGTGGTAGTATTGAGAGATTTTTAAACTTCTCTTTAATTTTTCAAATTTGCTTTAAATAGAAAAGACTACTATTTTTAACATAAGGCAAATACCTGACCAAAGGAACCAGCTTTGTGCCAGGGACTCTCGACCCTGGGAAGACAAGTGAATGACAGCCCCCCGGGCTGGCACTGCAGCAGGAGAGACAGACAGCAGACATGTGAAGGGCCGCAGCGGGCTAAGTGCTGTGGGAAGAAACTCAGCCAGAGGGAAGGACGCGGACAGTGCTGGGGGCGAGGGAGGTGCTGTTTTATGTAAGGTGGTCTATATGCCTTGCATATTATTTAATATTTTATTATCTTTTCATACCTCAAAGTAATAATTTTGCAGCTATCAAAAGAGAATGTGTAAGAATTTGCTTTGAATATAAACTGATCTTATAGAAGGCCTGGAAATTGTGGGTTATTTGTTGTTTTCTTTAATGAAAACTCTGACACTGTTTTTTTTTTTTCCTTTTGCCACTTTTCACTAAAAATATAAGACTTGGGTGTGTGTGTGTTGGGGGGGTTAGTTGTATTGATTCATTTATTCAACAAGCTTTATTAAGTATATAGCACATGCTACACACTACCATAGAAAGAGTAATAAACTATAGTTTTTTAAAAACATTTTTGTAAGGTAGTGTGTTTTTTTTAAGATTTTATTTATTTATTTTTAGAGAGAAGGGAAGGGAGGGAAAAAAAGAGGGAAACCTCAATATGTGGTTGCCTCTCAGGCGCCCCCTACTGGGGACTTGGCCTGCAACTCAGGCATGTGCCCTGACTGGGAATCGAACCGGCACCACTTTGCTTCGCAGGCCTGTGCTGAATCCACTGAGCCACACCAGCCAGAAAAATAAATTGTGATTTTGACCTCAAAGTCTCACAATATAGTGGAAGATTGTTGGCTGGTTAAAATACATTCCTAAATATTAAGAACATTATATTTTCCATTGATATTGAATTTTTTCTATTTATTTTATTTTCTGAGTGCTTACACAATATTTTTTTAAACACCCAATCATTAAAAATGTTTACAAGTTCCTGTTTCCATTTTTCCTCCTCAGAACAGAAGGGATCTTCATTCTGCCATATGTGATTGTTTCTGAGGCTTCCTCAACAGTGCTCCTCAGACTGGGATGTGCATATGATCCCCTGGGAGCTTGTTAAAATGCAGGTTCTGATTCAGTCCTGCTGGGTGGGGCCTGGGATTCTGCATTTCTAATATGACCACATGATGCCAAGATGAGTTTAATGACTTGTCTGAGGTTCAGACTCCTCAGTTCAAACTGGGAATGATAACACCTAATGTACAGGGTGGCTCTGAGATAACAGGTAAAGGGCTCAGAGCAGGGGCCAGACAGAAGCTGCTCCATGGAGAACACTCCCCTCTCTATGCCCCTCCAGAAGGGGCTGATCTGTATTCATCACAGTATCCCCTACAGGGGACACACAGTGCCTGGTGCACAATAGGAGCTCAGTAATATTTGCAGATCAAACAGAGAACCATCTTTAAAAATATGACTGACAAATTCCATTCTCTTTTTTAAACTAACTGCAACTCATTAACAAACAATATTAAAGATAATTTGAAAGATCCTTTTTAATGATAAAGTAATAACCCTTATGCCTTCCTTTTCACAGATAGATTTATTTGCTCAGATGACCTTATTCCTACAAACCTAATTTACATTCTTGCAATGAGGGCACATAATGTTTTTATCTTATAATAGCTTATAAATGTCTTAAAAATATAGTGTTCACAGTTATACTTTTTGTGACTGCTTAATATGAATAATATTGATGTTCTACAACTTATTAAATTATTCTCTAATACTGGGATTTTTAAGATATAGGACATTAGGATTTTCCTTTTAATTTTTACTACTTTAAATAAATGCACAGCTCATTTAGACCATTTGACTCAGTTAGTCCTCACATACTATGCTTTTTAAAAAATGTACAAGGTCTGTCCAGAAAAAGTCCAGCCATCGTTAACATAATGAGAATGGTTTGCACAACATGGATGTAACCTGGCAGCCAAGGAGAGTGGACTGGGATACGCATGCGTGAACAATGATGACTTCACTGTACTAGTCAGTGGGGGTGGTAGACCCCATTGAATGAGCATGTACACCATGTAGCTGTTGCCTTCAAAATGACTGAGTGAGCATAGCAATGAATCTGCATCAAATTTTGCATTAAGCTTGTACATTCCTCTGTGGAAGATATTCAGATGATTCAGAAGGCAGCAGCTATGGGCAACTGGTGATTGGCAGCTTCATCACAACAACAGGCCTGCTCATGCACCATGTCTCATGCAGTTTTTGGCAAAACATCAAGTCACCCAAGTGACTCAGCCCCCCTACAGCCCCGGTTTGGTGCCCAGTAACTTCTGGCTTTTCCCAAAACTAAAATCATCTTTGAAAGTGAAGAGATTTCAGGCCATCAATGAGATTCATGAAAATACGATGGGGCAGCTGATGGCAACTGGGAGAACTGTGTGAGGTCCCAAGGTGCCTATCTTGAAGGGGACTGAGACATCATTGTCCTATGTACAATGTTTCTTGTATCTTCTTCAATAAATATATCTTTTTCATAGTAAGTGGCTGGATATTTTACGGACAGACCTCATATACTTCCTTATGCCCCTATGTTTAATTTACTTGAATATTTTTGTGTGATTTAGAAGGTAATGTGAAACTTTGACATTACTTGTCATTATCTCAAAGTATTCCAGAAATAGCCTTAAAAATAAATATGTATACTATCTGATGAGAGAATGACAGTTTTACTTCTTTTATACAAATAATAAAGAGAATCGTACTTTCCCCCTTTCTTTCCTACCTTTCACCTCCACTGTGTTTTCTAAGGTTAGTTTAATCTAAATTTTTGGTATCTATTTTCCTTTACTTTTGTGTTTTAAAGGAATTACGCCATTTAATTAAATTCATCAACATCATTCTCCCCTTTTTCTTCATATACTCTCTAAAAAGTAACTAGTAATCTCACATATAAGCATGAGAGTTTATGAAGTAAAAATTAAATGCTTATCATTAAAATGTGCTTACTCTAAATATCTTTTATATCAAATAGTTGGCAAATGAGTGGCCAAGACTTTTGAAAGTTGATTTCTTTGGAACTTTTCTTCATGTTTTAAAAATACTCTTGCTGCACTTTTAAATAAGATGTTTGTGTTAAAAAATGATGGCATGTCTTTACTTTCCTCCACATTAAAAATGTGTTTTCTTTCTCTGCAGCTTAAAGTGAGTAGAAAGAATCTCCTTAATGTCTGCAAACTTATATTTAAAATAAGCAGGAATGAGAAGAATGATTGTCTGATTCAAAACGACAGCATTCTGGGTGAGTATCATTCAGCACTACCATTGACCAAATGTTGCACTTGAGCGCAAAGTTACAATTAATGATAGCTGGAATATTTTACTTTCTAATATTACGGGGAAGTTATGTGATGCCTGTTTTTACTCTGTCCTCCTCTACGTTTTCCACATTCCATTTAATATATCCTTTGGAACCTAGGAGGATAGTCTGCTATTTTTGTAATGCTTGTAGTGTTCCCTATTTAAAAATTCATTTCCTGGTCTTGGATTTACTATTAGAAAAAAAAATGCTTTTAGTAGTATTTAACATAATTGAAATTTCTGTCTCTTGCTGTGGTAGGAATGACTAAAACCTGGAAGACCTCTATAACTGTCGTAGAAATTTGACATCAAAGTGTCTCAAATAATGCAGATAGAGAAATTTTAACATTCTAACTACCTAGCTAATGAGATATAATTCTTGATATACCCTTAGATAATTAAGATGTTTAAATAGTTACCTAAATGGAAGTCTTTTATGAAATAGCCTTGCTGATCTAAAGGAAGGCGGTATGAACTATACTTTGAGTCTTCTTTTTGCAACCTAGGATAAAAATGTAAATGGTCTTTATATTTTTTTTTATCCCAGTAAACAGGAACAAGCCCAGTCAAACACTGAGTCAGCTCATTGAGAATTGTAGACTAAAATCAAAGATTCTGATAAATGATCACACTAATATTAATAAAATAAAATGTGAATTAGGCGTGAAAAACCTTATCAGAGTTTCTTGGATTACTCCTAAAATCTAGTAATAGTATGTTTTTGGATGGGTGCTCTTAAGTTGTCTAGGGAAAGGGTAGATATTATATTAGAAGCATTCCTTTCTATGGTGATTGAGATTTTTAAAAAGGTCCTATCTTGATTAATTTTCCATTCATACAGCAACTGGTATATTCTTAATGGTTTGTTGAAATGTAACTCTTAAATTGCTTCTATAATAACTCAAAATGTGTGTAATCAAAATAAAGGCTGGCAAATGTTAGTAAGAGGCAGGGGATAACATTTAAAGAACACTGTCTTATTTATATATTGTAAGCCCATCCTTTTACTGTCATTACTATTATGAAGATTTAGCTAAAAGTAGGTTTTCCTCTTTATAATAATCACTAACTCATAACAAGCATTTGACATTAGGTTCTGACTAACATTCTACAAATTGTATTTGATGTTCACATACAAACACTTTAATATATCTCTGTCCAGCTGATATAATCACATCTTTGTAATAATCCATCTTTTTGACAGAATCACTATTGGAGGTCCTGAGAAGTGAAGACCTGCAAACTAACACTGAGGCTTTTTTATACTGTATGGGGGCCATCAAATTCATTTCTGGAAATCCAGGGTTTCTTAATGAAATGATCAGCAAAGGTGCTGTGGAAGTATTGATGAATTTGATAAAGCAGATAAATGAGAACACCAAGAAATGCAGTACACATTTGCCTAATTCAGGTCACTTGTTAGTCCAGGTAAGTATTTTACTTAAAGAAGTGAGATGTGTAAAATTAGTTTTCATGTTGCCTAGCAACAGTTACCTGCCAGGTGAATGTAACAGGTAACAGGTGGGCTGCTGCCTACAGCCGGGTGAGGGCGGGGGTGGGGTGCCTGGGCTTGGGGCTCAAGGGCCGCAGTCACCGCCCACCTCCTCCCTGCATATGCCCATTTCCCCTGGAAAGGCGCTTCCGTGGCTTCTCATGGAGCAGCTGTCCACACAGCTTGCAGACAAATTTTCCACTACCCTGCAGAGAAAGAAGGCCTGGAGGCATGAAAAAGCTGCACCTCTTTGCAAAGCAATTGCATGTTATAATCAGAATTATAATTATATGGAGATTGTTCATGATGATCAGTAGTAAATGTCATGAATCTTGTTTCTACAATAAAAAACAGAAAGTTAATGGGATTGAGTGGGTAGTTGTTGAGGGAGGGTATAGAGGGCATGCAGGCCCGAGACTACAGGAACGAAGGTAACAGCACTGAATGCATTTAAGATGGCCAGGGCAGGCAGAACAATTGTGTTGTGTGTTAGAGTTTTATTACTTCTTTCGTGACAGATTAAATTTCATAGTTAAATTATTTTCATGGAACTGCTTCAGCCCTCATATTCTTTTTTAGCTGAGATTTTACTCTTTAATAGCCTTTGTATGTCAGATAATAGCATCTTTGATGTAATAATTAATGAGATTTGAAATGTGCTTGTCAATTAATGAGGATTGATTAAGCACTCAAAGCCCTTAAAGCCTTTGGGGAAATGTGTTAAAAATTAGATTTAGGCCCTGGTATAGAGATGCTTAAAGTGTTTATGATGATTATTAATTTTGGACTTGTGGTTTTGTCTCCATTTTGAAAAAGATTGTGAAAATCTCTTTTTGTCACAAATGATTCAAAATTCTACTGGATGTGCCATTTTTTTGGCTAGGAAAACTTAAGAAACATTATATTCACACTGCCAGTGTTACTATTTTGTTATTCAAATTTTCCCTCAATGAATAGTTATTTTGGTTATATAATTATATTTTTTTTGTTAAAATGCAAAAAAGTATAAGGAAGAGTGTAAAAATAAAACAGCTTTTATTTTCTTCCTGAGATAACATACCTCCAACATTTTAGTACCCATTCTTTCAAGCATTATTATGCATATATGTGCTTACTTATATAGAATTATATATAATTCTTGCTTCTTATCATTAAGTATTCTTTTAGTAGTTGTTTTTGCTTGTTTTCCGTCATTATTTTCCCTCCTTGTTTCTCCTCTGGTCCACCCAGTTAGCCATCTCTGTTCACACTGGTGTACTCAGCACCTTTTAATACACTCATAGGTTTTCAAAAATAGTGTAGAAATGCCCGTCTCTTTTCTCATTTAGCAATAGTGAAACCCTTTTGAGTCAATTCTATAGACTTATTGTATTCTTTTTAATGGTAGCCTAATATTCTGTGATTAGGGTATACCTCAAAAAATCAACCATTCTCTTGTTGAGATATTCACTCTGTTTTTAGTTTTGATGCAATAACTCTGGAATTCTTACATAGTTTAAAAAGTCTTTTTTCAACTTATTTATGTATGTTTATTTATATAATCAAATGAATTATGAAATCATAAATTGTAAAATATAAATTATTCTTATATAATTAAATATAAACATTTATATTTATATATATTTACATATATAATCTTTTTAAAACCAGACTCTCTCTCTCTCTATGTGTATATAGATATATAATAGACTATATATCTATCTACAATATTTATAAAGTAAACTGTATGTCTATACCTATATAGAGAGCGATATATATCTGTGGATAGATGGATATATAGCCTGGTTAAAAAGAGCTCTTTTCAACCTATTTTTATATATAGTATTATGTATTTCATGTATAATTATATAAAATTATATATTTTATAATACATATTTATACACATATTTACATAATTTATAAATTTAAATATATAACTTTATATGTGTATTTATTGTTCATATATAATAAAATATATAACTATATAATATATAGGAGCATTGAGTATATCAAATCAAGAACTAGGACCTCTGGTGTACCAGCAAGTACAATGTTCTTCCCCCTGTGTTTCTCTTTTCTTTCCTTTTCCTCTCTCCTCAGCATCATCTGGCGCACACTAACTCACTAGGTCAGATGCCCCTTTTCTTTCCTGTAAAGTACGTACCCCTCTAGGGAACTGTGGTGTGAGGCACTATAGTAACGTCCTCCTCACTGCCTACCGGCTCTCGCCAGGCGCTGTCATGCCTCGAAGCCTTCCTCTGTGCCTGCCTAGGACCTGCTGCTTCCATGGCTGAGCCTCCCCCTGGAGCACAGTCAGCATCCCACCTCCTCATCCAGCAAAAGGAAGTGGGGCCTAGCCCGTGGTCACCAAGTGCCATTTGCATCAACTATACAATGTCACTATGTGTGTGTCTACAGATTTGGAAGGGGAGGAGATGTTGTTTTAGGCTGTTTCATTTGCAGAATGAATCCCCTGAACTGGACATTCCCTCATATATGTATAATTAAAACAAAGACAAGCTGTTTTGTATCATACGAATGGTAGGGAAGGCCTTATTCTTCCACCAGGTAAGAAGTAAGCAACAGAACTTCGCTGCAAGAACAGATGAAAACCTCTCCTCTGCGAGTGTGTAACACTGACGGGCTGTTGACCAGGCCGTTCACGTGCAAATTCAACCAAACAGATCTGGGCATGTGCAGAATTGTTTGTTTACACCACCTTTCAGAACCTGGTAACTATAGCTCCAGGCACTTTTTTAAAAAGGCAACTTCAATGAAAAAAGTAACTTATTTGTGGCTGTACTAATAAAATAATATCTCTAAGCCAGAGAGAACATGGAAAGGCAGAAAAGATAAAGGCAGGCAACTTTGGACCGCTGGGACTTCCTGTCCTTTATGACTTCAACCGGGAGAACCTCAGTAGCTTTAGCATCCTTTCTGGGAACCGCCTACTGTAAAACTTAGTACATTCTAGCATCTGGCAGAGTGCTAGAGTCATCCTGTTTCCCTAAAGCAGTCCCAGCAGAGGCCATTGAATGAATGGAAAACATCTGAAGCTACACAATAAAGGTTGTGTAGGATTTAGAGAAAGGGAATGGGACAAGGTGTGTTTGGGGGATACTGAAGAGGTAGGTGGGTCTGTCCAGAAGGTGCTGTGGGGGAGGCATGCAGATACGATTCAGAGGCTACGGTCCTGGGTCTCGAATGGCAGGCTGTGGAGTGTGTTGGAACAACAGGGAGCAATTGGAAGTAGGTTTGCGGGAAGGAGAAAACGAGATCAGAGTGGCAGAAAGATGAATGTGTACAAGATATTAAACTGATAAAGACCAAAAGCTGAAAAGCGATGGAAGGAGGATGTGTCAGTGGTATAGGCAGATTGTAAAGTTAAGATCTCACACACAGAAGCCCCAATTAAAAGGCATGGCTGCCGTTATTAGATTTTAGACTGATTATACTGGAGCTAAAGGAGAGAGATCAAGGAATGGGTGTGAAAGAAAAGTTTCTCAATGTATGGGCCGATGTTGCTTAGAGGAAAAAAACTAAAGTGCTGTGGTTTTGAAGGTTTTTTTCATGTTTCTTACCTATGCACATGCATATATGTTTATCACCATGTGGCTGACAACAAGAGACATTGGTGACACCAGTGTTTGTGGAGTGGCTGCTCTGTGCCAGGCATGTTCTAGGTGCTGAGTAAGATAGTGGAGGACAAGGTAGCTGCCAGTAGAGGCTGGCTTTTTGGGGATCCTTGTGTCCAGACAATAGAGTTCTGAGGCCTTATTCTTCCACCAGACCATGGTACATTCACATGTTCAATGCTGCATTCAGTTCCACCTGTCAGATACCTAACAGTATTTTGAGAAGGTTGAAAGGATCATTGCTGATGCGTGGAGGAACTGCGGTGCCACCACCTGTGACCTAAGTGGAAGCTTTAACACTTCCAGTCTGGCAAACCCAGAGACATGAGTGTGTCTGTAAAGAGAGTAAAGATTAAACTGTGCCTGATCATGAAATTTCAGAACACCAGAATTTTGGGAGAGCTCTCTGAAACTTAGAAAAAGAGAAACACAAGCCAGGTAAAAAGCAAAGACCCCCGAAGTGCCAGGAGTAAATTGAAGCCCCAAGGAAGTGACCAGTGGAAACAGATTTGTCTTTGTTGATTTAGATGGGATTATCCCGAGGTGCTAGGGTTCCTCTCTGACTTGTAAAGGCTAACAGTCAGAAGGTGTAACACAGGAGCGAGGAAATTTGCTGCAGTCACCGCCACCAGAAAGCCTGTGTGGTCTCCACCCAGCCCCCTTTTCTGGGGAGTAGAGAACCGTCTTCTGTGTATGTTATAGTCACAACCAACCCCAAGTTCCCCTGGTACCTCGTTTGTCCTCTGGTCTCTTGAGGGCATCATGTATAATGTTGCTTTACTGTCATTGTAGAAAATCTCAAGGTACACTTAGATAGAGTTAGGGAATTTATAGGTATATAATGTAACTATTAATGCCCAGATCGACTAGGCCATTCCAATTTTTTTAATTATTCGTTTGTATTTCCAACCTTTTTTTTCTTTACAGTCTGGCCCATTTGATTTTGAGTTCAATTCTTAGAGAAATACATTCTTTCTCTGCTCTAAATACAACATTTTTGAAGTTAAAACTGTTCTGTAGCATCCCAAACAACATGGCTTGCTTTTCCTCCTCTCATACCTGTTTCACTTCTCTGGGCTCTAAGCCTGCAGACTTCTCCCCAGAGGGTCCTTCAAATCTGAACCTTTTCCCCTCCTTGCTCAGTACATCTCCAGTGTCATATTCTGCTGTTCTCTCAATGGAAGGGCCTCAGTAAGACCTCCCACTTTGTCAATCCCTGTTCTATTCCTTCATTTTGGCTTGAGTCTGGAGACAAGAAAAGGGAATTAAACAAAGACAGATGACTTGGACATTTTGAGCCTGGATATTTTAGAAAGTGATAT